TGTAAATTCTCTAGTAGATGTTGCAGTGAACAAGTCCTTACAAGTGGTGAAAGAATCTTTCCTCTGGTCCCTTTAGTGATGTCTGTAGCTAAGCGTTCCACTGCCTTCTAAAATGCATTCAGATTCCTCTACATCACCTTTGTTCATCCCTTTTAAGTGTTTTTATTTTCCACTTTACAAAAAAGATATCACAGCAACAGCAATAACGATGAAAAAGACATTAGGAAAACAATTCCATTTACACAAAAGATGAAATATCTAGGAATAAACATAACCAGAGAAACAAAGGACTTATACAAAGAAAATTACAAAACACTACTACCAGAAACCAAAAGAGATCTACAGTAGTGGAAGAACATACCATGTTCCTGGATAGGAAGACTCACATCGTGAAAATGTCAATACTACCCAGAGCAAATTACACATACAATGCAATCTCAATCCAGATTCCAACAACATTCTTCAAAGAGATGGAAAGGACAATTACTAATTTTATATGGAAAGGAAAGAGACCCAGGATAAGCAAAGCACTGTTTAAAGGGAAGAACGAGGTTGGAGGTCTCTCACTCCCCGATTTCAAACTTTACTACACAGCTATGGTGGTAAAAACAGCCTGGTACTGGTACAATGAAAGAGACATTGATCAATGGAACAGAATCGAGAATCCAGATATCAACCCAACCACCTACAGCCAAATGATCTTCGACAAAATGCCTAGGCACATTGCATGGGAAAGAGACAATCTCTTTAATAAGTGGTGCTGGCAGAACTGGAAAGTGATATGTAAAAGACTGAAACAAGACCTATGCCTCACGCCATACACAAAAATGAATTCATCATGGATCAATGAGCTAAATGTGAATCCCAAAATTATGAAGATCATCAAGAAAAAATAGGGACGAATGTGAGGGTGCTAATTCAGGGCATATACAGGTTGCCACACATTTTGAAAAGTACACAAACAAAAATAGACAAAATAGACGAGTGGGACATACTAAAAATTAAAAACTTGTGTTCATCAAAAGACTCCACCAAGAGAGTAAAAAGAGAACCCACAGACTGGGAAAAAAATCTTTGGCAATGACATATCAGATAAGGGACTCATCTCTAGAAGATATAGAAAAATACTACACATCTACAAAACCAAGACAAATAACCCAATGAAGAAATGGGCACAGGATATGAACGGACACTTCACCAGGGAGGAGATCCGGGCAGCCAACAAACATATGAAGAATTGTTCACAATCACTAGCCATTAGAGAGATGCAAATCAAAACAACAATGTGATACCCTCTCACACCAGCAATAACAGCAAAGATCAAAAAAGTTGAGGATAATAAATGCTGGCAGGGATGTGGAGAGATTGGGACACTCCTGCATTGTTGGTGGGACTGCAAAATGGTCCAGCCTCTCTGGAAAGCAATATGGCGCTTCCTCAGAAGGTTGAAAATAGAAATACCATTCGATCCAGCAATTCCTCTACTTGGTATTTACCCACAGGAAAAAAGAGCCACAACACGGGAAGATATATGCACACCAATGTTCATAGCTGCACTATTTACAATAGCAAAAAGATGGAGACAGCCAAAATGCCCATCAACTGAAGAATGGATAAACAAGCTGTGGGACATACACATAATGGAGTACTATGCTACCTTGAAAAATAACAAGGAAGCTGCATGCCACTTCCTAACATGGATGGATCTTAAGGACATTATGCTGAGTGAAATTAGTCAATCACAAAAGGAGAAATACTTCATAGGACCACTACTGTAAAAGTCTAAGAAAAAGAACCCATACTATCCCACTAAAGTGGATTCTTAGCAGGCTGCTAGAACGCAGGGGTAGGGTTAAAGGCGGGAGGGGAATGGGGAGCACTGGGCAGGGAGTAGACACAGGACAGTTTGGGTGGGGGGGAGGCAATATACAAGTAGGGAGAGGGGAACAGAAGAACAAAGCAGACAGGAGAACAACTAGACAGGTATGAATGAACTAAATGGGACAGAAGTAAAAAAAGATATAGGCACAGCCTTGGAACAACAGGGCTCTGGGATACAGAGACTGGGACATGGTTGGAATGGGGAGAAGAGGATAATGTTAAGATGCTTGGCTGACTTTTGAACCTTGGTTTCCCATACATTATATTATAAAACAAACACTGGAGGGGGAGAGAAAGGAATAGCCAGAGATGTCACCATAGAAAGATGAAGCTTTCTGCTCCCATAGATTTACAGCCTCGGAAACCCTGTACAGGGTTGCTATGAGTCAGAACTGACTCCACGGCACATAACAACAACAACAACATATCCAAATTTAAAAAAAAAGAAGAAGAAAATCAGAAAGATTTAGTAAGCATTAATGCAACAAAAATGTAAGTGAAAAGAAAACCCACAAATAAAATGAACTCAGCACAGAATAAGGAAATCAGTAGCACCATAAATCACCTCCCCCCAGCAAATGACAGTAATCAATTCATAGCTATCGTTAATTACAAGTGACAAGAAAGCAGAATGGATAACAAATCTCAATATGCTGTCTATTGTTGCTGTTGTTAAGTGCTGTCGAGTTGGTTCTGACCCATAGTGACCCTGTATAGCGTTTCCGAGCAGTAGCTGGTGAGCTTGAACCACCGACCTTGCAGTTCAAACAGCTTTGCAGTCTGACACAATAACCCACAGCCCCACACCAGGAATCCATGCTGTCTGTAAGAGACATAAAAAAGATGGAGACAGCCTGAATGTTCATCAACGGAAGAGTAGCTAAACAAACTTTTATACATACATACAATGGGATACTCTGCAAGTTGAATAATAATAAACCTAAGGGCATGGCTGAACCGGGAGGGCATTATTATGCAGAGTGAAATTAGTCAATCGCAAAAAAGAAAAAATATTATATGAGACTGATGTAAAAAGTTAAGAAAAGTTTTTCTTGATAAAAGAAACTATTTATGATGGTTGTGGGGAAGGGAAGGAGAAGGGAAAATGATTAACATGTTAAGATAGTAGACACATGTTAACATGGGTGACAGGGCAGGCAATATACAAGGGAGAGGTTAGCAGAGGAAAGATGAAGGTAGCAAGAGACACAGGGAGAACTGTAATAGTTAAAGTTGATAGAGGTTGTTGTTGTTAAGTGTCATCGAGTCGATTCCAACCCATAGCGACACTGTATAGGGTTTCAGAGGAGCAGCTGGTAAGCTTGAACCACTTACGTTGCAGTTCACATGGCTTTGCAGTCTGGCGCATTAACCCACAGCGCAGGTAAGTACTGTTAATTGTTGATAAATGAAGGGGATTGAAATCATTGCAATGAAACAAAGTATACAATTTGTTGGCTATGAAACTGATGATCTGCTCTGTAAACCTTCACTTAATTCACAATAAAAAGGCTTACTAAAAGAAAAATGTTTTTAAAGTTGGGTATCATACTATATATATATGTTGTTGTTGTTAAGTGCAGTGGAGTCGGCTCCGACTCATAGCGAGCGACCCTGCACTGGATTTCCAAGGCTGTAGATCTTTACGGGAGCAGAACACCTCATATGTAACCTTAAAAAAATTTTTTTCACTTAAGGAGCTCTGGTAGCGTAGTGGTTATGAATCGGGCTGTGAACCTTAAGGTCAGCGGTTCGAAACTACCAGCTGCTCCGCGGGAGAA